AACTAGCATTGCAATCGTGGAGGACATATCTAAAGCTAGCATTTTTCTAGTGTATAGCGGATCGGTTTCGTTCAGCGCACGCTCCTCTGGCTAGATTATGACAAGAAAGACCACCAAGGCAAGCAATAGTAGAACGCCATTTTGCTTTTTTCTGGGGAATAAAAATGTTGCACAAACTTTTTCTGTGATAATGAAACTTAGCACGTACGTTGTAGCATTGAGTATAGCAAAAATAATCATAACACTTTACAAAAGAATATGGAGGAAGATTTAATTAAAGGAAATCAGCAAACCAAGTAGGTCTGGGCTTCTCTGGAAATTGAAAACCGCAGCTAAACTGCCACCGTAAGTATTTATCCGTAAGGCAGATTGCGCCACTCATCCATTAAATAAAGCCTCAATACGCTCCATGGTATTCGAAGCTGCTGGCCTCGATGCTGAATGACTAATCCTGGACAATTGTCAATTCTATTAGGAACGCAACATAAACTTTTCCAACTATTCTCCATGTTCTTGTCGCAAACAACATGTTTTTTTGAGCTTGTCTTTTTGCGCAAAAATGCGCAATACAGCTAAGAGAGAACTGTCATCTTCGTAAGTGCTACGCACTGGAGAAAGCCAAGGCAGCACTGGACCGCACACAAGTTTATTTCAAGTTGATGACGACCTGTGTCATACAAAAGAAGTTACTGTATCCAATAACATTTTACTTCGAGGCCAACAGCAAACGGCTGGTCCGAGCAGAACTAACAGAGGCTCGGCCTAAACTTTAGGCAAACAGTGACGAAAGCTTAGACACGTACCCAAAAGAATAAAGTAGCAGAAGCATTGAAAACACTATGATGAATGATCTCGACAAACGTTGCAGAACTCTTCACTTGCAACAATCTCTAAACAATTGGCTTTTTCTTTTCAAACCACTGCTAACAGACCCTGATGAATAACAACGTAAATACTGCTAATAAATGCTGTTAATACATATATGCTCAGGTTAGCAGTCGCCAAATCAGCTATCGGTAGAGTCAGTCACTAATAGCAAGTTTTTTCGATGTTCCGCGAAGTGCCAAAAAAAAAAAAATACGCAACCTCGCGCCGCCTTTTTGGACTTTCGAATATAAGAACAAGTTATACACACAGGAATTTACGTTTCTCCGTAATATAAGCCCGGGTCATACCACTATTCTCAACATAGGCTCAGATAAATCAGACGGTGATAATAGTACGGCGTTAGCCATTAAAGCTGGAAACTGTCGAAAAGTGGTGAAAAATTGAGCATTTTAGTTGTGAATCTGTATTATTTAACGCGGTATACTATGGCTTTTAGCTTTTTTTTTTTTTTTTTATAGAAAACGTGTCACAGCCCAAAAAAGTCGCTTTTCGTTCAAAAAAAAATTGCTATAATTAATTTATTTATAACATTTAACAGGTACTAAATTTTTCTACCAGCAATTAAACAACAAAAATAAATACAATTTAGTTTATCGTGCGACTCTGTATGCACATAGGCACTCGATAAACTGTAAAGTGACAATATATCAAACCATTTCGCGCATGTAGACCCAGTCCAATATAAACGATGAAGAAAATGGTCGTTACAGATAGTGCCGAAAAAATAACGATTGGCATATACTTACACGCGAGTGAAGGCAACGAGGACTAAATCAAAAAAGGCATAACGCTCCAAATTTCTCTATCTCGTTTTTGCAGTGCGCTCTCCCCACACTGCAGCAATATGATTGGTGTGCCTACGATATATTCGCTGGCACTAGAAACATTGAGTTCTTTTTTTAGCGCGAAATCTCTGAAAGCGCAAAAAAATTTCAGCCATCCACAATCCGTCCCAACGCACCTATACCGTGCATAATCGTGTGCTTGTCAAGAAGAATTAACAGTTCGCGGTCTCTTAGAAACTGAGGCAGTTGAAAAACTTCTGATAACCACATGGGGCCTCGGCTATATTGAGGTATTGCTAAGCTGGACAATTCCCTTATATAATTTTTTTTGATAACGCTTAGGCTATAACGTGCCGCGCATGTTTTTTTTTTTAAGAACGGTCCGATTATTACGAATATTATTTACCCGCAATGCATATTTGGCTTGGGCCGATGAGTGTGGGATTCAGCTCGGATAGTAAATTTTATTTCTTTGAAATCATAACATACTAATTTTCAATTCTTTCTTTATCTGTCACTCCAACGCTTGTCATTTTTTTTCCACGAACTTTTGACAAGGCCAAAAATGTTAGTAATCTTTGCTTGACTTCAAAAATATGAAACGGCAGATAAATGAAACATCACTACAGATTAAACATGTTGCGTCCTGTGGCGGGATGGGTTTGTTTAAGTGCCATAGAAGCAAGAGCCCGGGTATCGCTAATGGAGGCAACTGGTCCCATCAAATAGAGGAACCACAAATCGTTGCTCCTATTTTTTTTTATCTCGCTAAACGATAGTGTCACAGAATACGTCGGCGGCATTTATTATGGAACGATTCTGCTAAATTTATACAAGTCCCATTGGAACCTCCTGGTGGTTCGTATGGGTTTTAACGATGTCAACTCTGAAATATTAGTGTATCAAGCTAGTTTGTGGACGGAAGTGAACGCGGATAAAAACATTTAAACGACTACTCTCGAGTTTGAATAGTTTAGCAAAAATTCCTCAGCTCTTCTATACGTCAGACGTGTAGATAGTTTTGCGTAGTAAACGTTATTTATTTGGCCGCCATAAAGTACGTTTTAGCACTAGAAACGCTATGAAAAAGTAAACATCATGAAAATCTTCTGAGTAACGTCTTTAAGCCAAATCCTCGGGAGCAATTTTCACTACAGTCTGCTGTAATTTTTTTTTATCCGGTTAAAGCAAATTCATAATCCTATTAGGCGCTCAAGACAAGAGATGCTCTCCAATATTGGCAGAAGATATAAAAAGTTACTACATAGGTATATACTCTCTTTAATGCAGAATACCACTAGCCATTAAATCAGTTCTCGATAAATGCACTTACCTAATACGTACGATGCCACTGTCTATGCCCATCCGACGATATATTCTCTATATTGCTACTTTATATTACCCGTTTGATGTTTTTAGTTAAAAAAATCTTCACCATTTACACAAGACAACTCTGCGACCCATTAGCAGCGAATGCTGGGTGTTACAAGATTATTCAACGAGGTATTCCTGCGGAGGATAGAGTCGACACGTTGGTTTCGACCGTTGAGACGTTGTGACATAGGTAAACCCGGCTAAGTACGGCCCAAACCCAGGAGGAAGGACAAACCTAGTGCACTATTTAATTAACAATTAACATGCGTGGTAGTCAGCCCACACAATCATTGGCTCACGAAATGGGGCGCGAGGAAACTTTTGTTATCGTGTAACTCGCTTTCGGTGTCATAAAGTATATAGCGTATTTGCCGACGGCCTATCGGCAACCGAAAAAGATGCCAATGAAAGGCCAGTTTTGTATGCTGTTTGGAACACGACCCTACCTCACTTGCTCAGCAAGTCTCCTGGAACGTCGTATGGACTCGTTGCTTATATAGCGAAACTCGTCCTCTTCAGAGACGCTTAGGTGGATTCAAAGAGGATAATATAGCGCTTAAGTGATGCAGTTTACACATTGCCATTAGTAGTCCTCTTTGTTACTTTAGCCAATGGATCTAAAAGGAATTTTCTTTCGGTAAACTTACCACAATTTAGTTATTTTTGAATTACCATACATAAGATATTACCAAAATCACTCTATACTATTTGAAGTAGCAGGAATGGCCGATAAATTAGATTAAACAATGAATTTCGATATAAAAGAAATGTTGAATTTTTAGTAAACAATATTCCCTCCAGCTCCTAGATTATTTTCGTATGAGTACAGAGTATTCGATTCCACATGATCCTGTTGTTAAAAAAGTCTTTCTTCTGTCTATCAGGTCCATACGCTTACTGGCGTAATAGCACATACGGACACTGGATCCTCGATCCGCCGATAATCTCTGCTAAGTAATTTTTGTTGCAAATCATACATAATCTTCTGTACTATAGTTACGTAACCACCCTGCTACGCCCTTAGATTGCTCACAACACTAACATAATAAAAAGATAGGCGTTAAATCATATGGAATACGTACGTACTTACGCGTAAATGCGCCGGCAATACACGCACACAGCTGCAGTCGCATTTATTCAAATTATGAAACCGTGCATTCGAGCGTCGTAAAAGCTGAAAGGAGCTATGAGAAATCAAAACAGCATGACGATTAACAGGGCGACTAACAGCATTCGACCCGGGTAATCACCAAAACTCTCCAGAGGGGTCTTTCGTCTATAAGTTTACTTCAGCTGGCTTTATCCGTCTTCTCATACAGATTACCTGCTGTTACATACTTTTTAGGAGTATAGAGAACGCCTCTCTGTCGCCCTTTGCGAACTACTGCTCGTAGGTTGGGCCGCCTTAGGTCGTTTCAGTTGTCGTCGAAAAATTTACAGCCGTCTGGGCATCCAGGGGCGTCGGAGTATCTATCTATCTATCTATCTATTCTATCTATCTATCTATCTATCTATCTATCTATCTATCTATCTATCTATCTATCTATCTATCTATCTATCTATCTATCTATCTATCTAATCTATTTAATCTATCTAATCTATCCAATCCTATCTATCTAATCTATCTAATCCATCTAATCTATTTAATCTATCTAATCTATCCAATCCTATCTATCTATCTAATCTATCTATTCAATCTATCTAGTGCCAAGTTATTGTAAGGTGACAATAAGCTATTTGTCCGGAACTTCCACAAAAGCAAGAACAGTGGAACTGGGGTTAAATTTTAGACTTTCAATGTATAGGCCCACGATAAATCATGAAGTAATTCGGCTAAACGCTACATTTTCACTATGACGTGAACAATGTCAACTCGTATTATTGTAAGCATTCAAGATTGATTAAGCAGTTTATACGGAACTAATAAGTTGATGGAACGTTGCGTGGTTTCAGGAGCTCTGTTCAGTGAGGAGCTGAAAGGCAGTTCAGCAGAATTGGCCTTTAAATACGCGGTGATGCGAATCAATAAAGACCGATCGCTCCTGCCTAATGTCACGTTCCAGTATGACATACAGTACGTACCCAAAGGGAACAGCTTTCGAGCCGCCAAAATGGGTATGTACAACTATTTAGATACCACCTACAACTACGATCGACAAATGAGCATAGGTCGAAATATAACTGATACGCCGTGATAAAATACCTTCTATTCCAAATTATCGTGTCGTCTGTATCAAAAGCGTTCTAGCTAATTATATAACATGACAATAATTTTTTTCTGTAATGTGCCTATATATGAAGGCAACCATGCTTTCGTAGTTAACCAGTCTAAACCATTTGACTCGGCTAACATATATTCCTTCTGTTCCTGCTGGTCATATCTGTTTATCCCTTGTAGTCATTTTCCCAATTCATGCATGTGCCTCTACCAATGATTTTATGATACACATAACGTTTCACTAAACCTCTTATATTACGGCCTTTATTACCCTACGTAACCGTGTTACGTGCAGCGTGTCAGCTGATCTCGCAAGGAGCTGCGACGATATTCGGGCCATCCGATCCTGTCGTGGGCGGACACATTCAATCGCTGGCCGACTCACTCGACATCCCCCATATCGAATCGCGGCTTGATCTCGAGACCGATGTTAAAGATTTTTCAATCAATCTTCACCCCGACCCGCAGGTGATGGGCAACTCTCTCAAGGATCTCGTGTCTTACCTCAACTGGACCAAGATTGCCGTCCTCTACCAGGACGATATTTGTAAGTGTGACCTAATTTAAACTGACCTATTAAAGAGGGATGAATGTACCTAGCACACCAACTAGACAAGGTACCCGTAGCTTGCTCCGCCAATACCAGCGTTCTAGAAAAATGTTGCCCACAATAGCCACGAAAAGGGTAAAAACAGAGGCAGTTAGACAAAGGAGTAAATACACGTAGACGCATACAACTCTATCACGTCGAATTTATCCAATGTAATTAAGGCAAATATTGTGTATCCTATAATAAGAGCCTAATTAGTATTGTCGAGGCTAGCAAAGACTACGTAAACATTGTCAAGATAGTAAGCTAGCCAGATAAATAAACGGTTATCGAGCGTCGACCATTAAGTAAATTCAAGCAAATATCTAAATATGCTTTCCGTCATTTCATACTAAAGACCGCTTATTATTAATGTTATTATGTTGCTTATCTAATTCGAACAGTGCCTATATATGAACCAATCCTCGATTCTTCTAGCTAGCGCAAAATCTTTTTGTCAAAGCTGACAGATATACCCTAGTTAAAGGTGCAAGAGCTGCAAATACAACTTCTTTCCGACCCCAGCGCAGTGGCATGCAATTTCCGCTCTTCGTAGACGCATGCCTTTAACAAGCATTTCCTAACGCCCGCAGCAGACGTTTAAGCGGCACTTACCCCAGAGGGCAGTAAGTTTACTAAAGGAAATGCATTTTATTTTGGGCCTCCTGAGTTAGTCCCTAACCAAATTCCCTCAGTTACTTGAATGAAAGCCGTCTATAGTAAAGGAAATGATCGAACCTCGTCACCATTATATTTATTTTGGGGTAAGCATCATCCTCACCGGAAAACTGCCTAACTCTACCGGACTATAGTCCGCTAGTCAAAGCTGATTTTCTAGACGTTGGTGTACGAAAGTAGAAAGCTCCGAGGCAGATTTTTCTGCATTGCTTTCAGTTGCCGCCCGGTGATCACGGCTTATTGATAAACTAATTTAGATTCCTGTCCACAACAAGGTTGCGCAGTCGCTGGGTTTCATCCGTCGTGCATTTCCCGCCTCAAACCGGCGTGGGTCCTATCTTGCCTTACTGCGTCACTACACTTGATTCTGTATGGGAAGGGGAGATAATGTTGGACGTTACGTAGCATGTTGCATTTGCTGTTCCGTATATACGCAGTATCCGTAAGGTACCGGTTTCATAAGGCAGGTAGAAGAAGAGCAGCTGACTGATGCTCTTCCTTTTCGTTAGTACACAACGCACAGCCTCTTGTTGTTTTCATTTCGTTCGCAATGATAACTACATGCTGATTATGATTCGATCGATTGCCTGAAGCAACAGTCGACTGAGTAAATCTGTAACGATAGTAGTATTAGATACGGGGTCCAGAAGCAGATGCATAGTGACAAACAGCGAATCTCTATTGGACACAGCAGCTTGCTTCCTGACCAGTCGGCGGTTGCCCGACCAGGCAACACTGCGCAAATTTGTTTACTCGGCCAACTTTCCTACACCTTCCACTCCAATATATCTTGTTGTCTTAGCTCGATTTTACACTTGACAAAGTGTTGGCTAAATTGTGCAGCGTGCAGTATTGTTGCACGCGTTGGTATCAACAGAGAGCTCACGTTTTCGTTGCCGTAAATGCGCGCTGTTCTTGTCATTAAGTCTTCGTAATTAGTATGGTTTACGAAGCTTTTCTTTTTGCTTATGATGTCCGTGTAGTACTAATTCAGACGTAACTGGTGTTCTCTAGTTCGTTCTCGCTTAACTTCAGGGTGTGCGTAGTGAGCGCCCAGCTTTCTGCAAACGATAATGCCGGTATCTTGAGCCTTTTCCCTTCCACACGGTTTATGTTCTATACGTAGAATGACTTTGGTGACCTTTCCAATTGTAGTTCTAGTTTTGCTACATACTGCGGGATAAGACCGGCAAAGACGGACAGTCTTGCAGCGGGGTTCGTTACGTCTGCGTGTGCTAGTGCACTTAATTTACTTAGGACTGTTGCAAATATCGAATCTAGCCTCGACTTGACATTATCTGAGTATTCTTTTCATTCTATGTGCGTTGACCTGCACCCCAGTGTCGTCCGTCATAATATATACTGCTGGCTTATTTCGCTTTGTTTCTACAGTCTCGGAACTAATTTGATATTTCGATGTAATGCCGTGTCCTATTCGCAGAGGACACTTTTGCTTCCCTGAGGCTTAATTGCATTCGACTCACAATAATTTTTCTTGCTATATACCTACAGAGAAAAAAAAGCTTCTTCTAGTCTAGAAGCACATACATACAATGTGGTTGTGCCGGCTTTTCGTGATTTTTTCATTTTTCTTGTTATGTGTATAATATATCATCATATGGGATCGGGGCGACTTCTAGAAACCTGACTGAGCGATAGTTCTATTGGATTGTGACCTACTGTAGTTATTGCTACTTCGCTACTTGCCTCGCCTTTCCAACTGGACAGAGTAGGTTCGAAAGGGCCGTCATTGCCTTCAAAGTCCGCCTTACTACTCTTTTCAAGATCGCTCAGCTCTATTTGCTCGGTTACGTTTTTTGCGGGCTCCTAAATTTATTATGATACTATTGTAACCAGTTGATTAGTATACGGCTTTTTTCTTTACTCCAATTTTCTTTACCGTATGAAAAATACTATTTACTTTCTAGCATAATTCAAGGTTGTGCCCTTTCTCCTACTTCTTCCTTTGCACTCCTGTGCCGTGTTTATTTTGCTTAACCACGCTTGTACAGCGTGCGATTGCGAGCGGCTCCATTTGAAATCTTTGGTTTTTAAGAAGAATGGAATCTGGACATTTCAATTACCTTTTAATAAAAGCTTCAGTTTTACTTTTTCTTTATTAATCTTATTTTGATCTCAGACGATGCATGATTAATACATAAATGTCGGTTAGAGGATCCAGGTCTGTATGTATCCGATGGAAGGCCAAACGGCGGTAACGAGCAAAAAATTTGAAACGTTTCATTGAAAGTTGCATGCCTATCCTCGACCTAACCACGTTCCTAGGTCAAATTCCTTGGTTCGACGCTCCCTAATGATGGCAGTTGCCTCTCCTGTAAACGCATTTGGCACAGTATTAGTATCCGTGTTCTACTTATAGTATCTGTATTACGTTCTCTCCTTTTCTAATCGGTCCTTGTTCCATCTTAACAGTACCTTACACAAGAGGTAACAGACGATCCCCCTGTCGATCCGCTATACAGAGTTCTAGTTTTTAAAAAGATGTTTTCAGCTATGCATAAGATATGTAGTCCCCTAATCTGATGTTCTTTAGAAGGCGACGTGTTCGATATTCTATGTGATTTGCTGTGGGCTCTGTTGCGGCCATCGTAGCTCGTAACGAATTTGGCACTGCTGTTCTGATGGCGATTTCGAGCGGGTTCTTACCGTTGGTGTCGCCATTGCCGCATACCTACTTCTCTTTCACGTTGGCTATTGCGGTTTTCAATAGTTACGATCTCGGTACGTCTGCCATTTGTCACCTCTCGTTAAACGGGCTATTCGGCACTCTGCAGTTTTTGTCGCTCCTGTTGCGTTCTGCCCCTCTATCAAAATGCATGTATACTTCATATTTCATAGCGAATGTCTTCTTCAATGGGTTCAATCGTTGGGGCTTCGCGTCGGTTGCTGGCACCAGGCTTTCCGTTTGGTTCGTCCACTTCTTCTACTCTGTTTGTATCTAAAATGGCTTTCACCAAATTGGTACTAAGCTGGTTAGTTGTTTAGCCTTGTCGTTTCGTCCCACCCTCGCCATTTAGTGCACACCTGTACGGTGCACTGTTTAACGTTGCATTTTCTTCTTTGTAGGTCCTTCCAGTATCATCTTTGTAGCTGAGATATAGCAATCGCTGTTTTGGACTCAACTTGAGGCACCTTCTATTTTTATTAAGCTTTATTTCAGAATATGTTACCATTTGCAATATAGTCTCAGTTTCGGGTACACAGTGCCCTTGGTGGCATCGCGGATGAGCTGAGTCGATGCTTTTTTCGTTGTCAGCACCTGTAGGTAATCGCTAAATTCGCCGAGCTCGTAAGGACCATGTTGCCGAAAAGCTATAATACTACTATTGCCGCTGTGGCCCCCTTATACAACTCCCAATTGTTTGGTCTTTCTCGTCGACCGGTGTTTGGGTGATTTCTTTTCCTATGGTGATGATAAGCGCACTATTCCTTACTACTTTGCCGGCAGTGCTCGTGTATTTCACAATAGCATTTCTATGCGAAGTGATGATTGGCCACTCACACAATTGTTGAACCGTCTTTTTCCACTGATGCACCACGTTGCCGAAACTTAGATTTCATACGAGCCGAAGCTTCTTTAGAAGATGTATCGTGGAAGCAATGTTCGCTTTAAAGTTAGTCGTAAAACGGGCTTGCCAAAAACCGAGGCAAATTTCCTTCAAATGTCTAGTCGTTGGCATTGCGGACGGTCTCAGATCCTCATTACGGTGATGTCAAGGCTCATGAGCTTCACTAGCTGTAGCGTCTAGAAACCGGCTTCAATTCGTAGTGATGAGATCGTTGTTTCGCAGGCAACTCATCAGTGTATAATTGCCCCGATTCTGAATTTCGATGATTTTTGCCAACATCAAGGATCCTTGGTCGTTACTAACTTGTAGACACGCTGTCGAATAGGTAGAGTCAGCGTCACTCATTCGAAACCTAGACCTCTCAATCGAAACCTTGTTTATTAGAAGGTAGACTCTTATGAATGGGGGCTAAACCTATACGGAATGGTTGCACGTTTGTCTACGGTAGTAAAATAGATTCAACTAGGATAACATTTCAGGCATATACTAAAAGCAAATAGTATGAACATTTATTTGGCGCACGACCCTAGGAAAAGACTGAGAATATCTCTAGCTGTTTGTATTAGGTGGGTATAGTATTCCACAAAAAAAAGCAAATGCTCAGCGGCAGACTTTTCAAGTCACAGTTTTACTGGTGTTCGGCCCATATTAGTAGTGCGTATCAGAATATGCTTACGAACTGGGTCGCAT